AGTCTGGGTCCTCATTTCACCCACCTCGGAAGGATGGAAGGCTGAGTCAACCTTGAGCCGATGAGATTAGAACCGCTGAACTGCAGATAACAGTCGGCTGAAGTGGCCTGCAGTACTGCACCCTAACCACTGCGCCACCTCGGCTCTTGGATGGACGGATGTGCTGGCTGGGGAATTCTGGGAGTTGAAGTCCCAGGGTCTTTAAGTTACCAAGTCTGCAGATCCCTGGTCTAGCAAAAACCAGTTCCTCATCCCCCTTTCCCAAGCTTACCAGTGATACTCCCGCCTGGATTGCTGCAGCTGCTCCTGCTGCTGAAGAAGTTTGGCCTCTTGCTCCGCTAACAAATTCTGCAGGCGCTCCTTCTCGATTTCCAGCTCAATCTTCTGGAGCAGGAGCTCTTTCCGTTTCTCCTCGGAGAAGTCCTGGCCGCGGGGGTCGGCTTCTTTTGGCCTCGAGGCGTCGCCGGCCTTCGGCCTCCGGAGGTGCGGCGAGCCGAAATATTCCGAGGAGGATTCGCACGGGGCCCCTGGGTATCGGTCTCGGACACGGCAAGTGTCTTGGAAAGGCTCGTAAGCCGGGTTTCCTGATTTTTGATGGATGGGACACCCCGGAAGAGGGCAGCCGCTCCTCCGCTTCTCCCCGTCGGGAATCCTCTGGAGATGGGGACCCAATGGCTGTGTGGCTGGAGAGGACATGGGGTTGCATTTGTGGGGCAATCCGTTTTGCAAAAGGCCACCGTTCCTGGCCTCCGTCTGACATCCGGGGGTCCTGGCCTCAAGGACACCCCTATTCCTACCAGGTTGAGGTGAAGGCTGAAGACTAGGGCTCCTACGAGTTGAGTTGTGGTCCTTACGCAAAGCTTGTCGTCTAGCGACACCAAGGTAGGATCCATCCAGGTCTGAAGGCGGCACCAGCTGACAATGACTTCTCTGACTAGACATCTGTGGAGAAAGAGGAAAAGAAAACCACATTCAGCTTCCACAATTCCAAAATAGCAAATATGTTCCAATATGTGTCAGGCCTGCCATCTTCTTTTCTTTTGGATCTTTGGCCTGCCACGCTTTCTATTATTCTGCTATGCCTTTTCTATGGTGGGAAAATGGGAGAGGGGATTGTACGGAGTTAGATGCAATGTAGCCGTAACAACATTCTTTCTAGAAAGCCAAGGTCATCCTTTGTCTCTGCACCTCTGCACCTGACCGGAACTGGATGGGTGGCAGCTTTCAACTATCTTGAAAGACTGTGGGAGGGGAAAGACTTTGCTGGAGAGGAATTCACTATAAATTGAATAAAAAGGGTTTCTCGGGACGAGGACTCGGCTTCGTGCTGCTGGGGAAGCCTTGATCAGAACAGGTGTTTAATTTGGTTAGCAATACAGATTTTTTCCACCCCCTTTTTCCCCACCACTGGTAAAATAAGTGCCCTGTTTGATAATATTCTGTCTCTTCTTTCTGTCTGGTTTTCAATGCAAGTCTATCCATTTCTGGGCAATCTAGTATCTTCTGAATTATCTCTTCCTCTTGCGGGGTTTCTTCATTTTTTCCAGTATTGTGCAAAGATAACCTTCACTGCTGTTAAGACATGTAATATTAAATACATACTTTTCTTATCAAATTTTTTTCCTGATAGCATTCCTAATAAAAACAGTTCAGGTTTAAAATCTACATGTTTCCCTATTATCTTTTCTAGCCATCAGTGTATTTTTGGCCAATTTTTTTTTCCTTTGCTTTAACACAAGTCCATCACAGATGATAAAACATGCCAGTTTTTTCAGTGTATTTCCAACATTTGCTGACATATTTTTTTTTTAATTTTTAAAAACTTTTTATTTTGTTTATGCAAACTTCACATCTTTGCAACACATAGATTTCTTTTACATATCTGTTGTGATTCTTTTATGTACAAATAAGTCTTTTAGAACTGTAACTTTATATATATGTGCATTTATATTACTTCATACATCTTTTGTCTTCATTCTATATATAACATTCTATATATTCTATGTATAACAACCTTTATTACATATGAGTCATTTTGTATCCATTTCCTATTATTTATTTGCTACAGTCTATCTCGTATTTCTGTCTTTTAACCATTTTGCAGTTTTGCAGTTGTTTATTAATTTGTTAATCTTTCTTCCTTTCTTTTTTGCTTTCCTGCTTTTCCCCACCTTTCCTCTAGCCAATTATACCATAAATCCCGTACGGAGTAATATTGAGATTCCTCTTTCTCTTTTAATTCTTTCGTGAGCCTATCCATTCCCAAAAATTTTTTTTATTACATTTTCTTCTGTTGGTGTGTAATTATTTTTCCAGTTTTGTGTGAATATAATTCTCGCTGCCGTGATTATGTGTAGACTTAAGTATCTAATATTTTTTTCATAATTTCCTTTTATAATTCCTCACAGAAATAATTCAGGTTTTAGTTCAATTTGATGTGTGGTAATCTCCTCCAGCCAATCTTTTATTTTTTCCAATAGTTTTCCAACAGTTTTCCAATAGTTTTCCAGCAGTATTCCAGTAGTTGAGGGGCTGCCCCAAAGAAGAGGGAGTCAAGCTATTCTCCAAAGCACCTGAGGGTAGAACAAGAAGCAATGGGTGGAAACTAATCAAGGGGAGAAGCAACTTAGAACTAAGGAGAAATTTCCTGACAGTCAGAACAAGTAACCAGTGGAACAGAAGTTGCATCCAGAGGTTGTGGGTGCTCCATCACAGGTACGGTATGGGTGGTACCTTGCTCAATAGTAGTAACTGTGAGAGGGATCTTGGAGTCCTAGCGGACAACCATTTAAATAGGAGCCAGCCATGTGCAGCAGCTGCCAAAAAAGCCAACACAGTTCTAGGCTGCATAAACAGAGGGATTAGAATCAAGATCACGTGAAGTGTTAATACCACTTTATAAGGCCTTGGTAAGGCCACTCTTGGAATATGGCATTCAGTTTTGGTCGCCACGATGTAAAAAAGACACTAGAAAGTGCAGAA